ATGTAGTAAAATATAGTTATTACGCTTTATTGAAGTTTATTTCTGTTGTATTATTTCGATTTTAGTTAATAAATAAGAGATTGACCAAGAACTTGTTTAATAGCAAACATTAGCGCTTTACAATTATTGAGGAGACAACGTAAATCTAGATCATAATTTATTATGAGATCAAAATATGTTAGCCCCGTAATAACATGCATGCAACCCATACTAATTAATTTCAGTTAAATGTGCGATTATACTAAAAAAGGGGATCGCTTAAAGCCAAGTCCATCATGAGATCTTCCTTATACATGATCAATCAAAATCGCAAATTTACGTGGATCAACATGAAGAAGCAAAAAAAGTAAAAAAAAAATGCGAAAAATACAGCTAAATCTATCTTGGTACATTAAGAAAAAATGTCGAGGACAATTTTATATATAGAAAATTTCTAATTATAGCCCCAAACAGTCCCTAATCTTAACGTTAATTTAAATTCATGATGGACCTGACTTTAAGCATCCTCTAAAAAGGAAAGGCTTTGTTTCTCTTTTGCTTCATCGCATGATTAGTTTCGAATTTAGTAATTAAAAATTCGAAAGTTGCTTTTTCTACGTATCAATTACATTTTTTGATTGAAATTATTGTTGATTTTCGCTATAAATAAATTTTTTTGCTAACAATTTTGACATTTTTGGTTAGTGCAACAATATCGTATAATATTATTATGTTACACAAAATTTTCTACTATTATACCGGTTACAATAACCGGGGTTACAAATTTATCATCCCATAGAATAAAACCATTTACAAATAGTATTAAAAATATATATAAATTTTTTGTAAATTTGCAAAAAAATTTATATATGATTATAAAATATAAATTATTAATATCTTGAATTTAATAAAAAAATAGTTTTTTATATAATAAATAATAGAGTTTTGTTAAATGTAGCAGGTTGTGATATCGCAGGTTAATACGTAATTTTTTAAAAAAATTAAATTTATTATTAGTTAGGGTTAGTGTTTAAGCTAGTATTAGAATTAGAGTTAGAAGGCACATTTATATGCAAAATTTAAAAACTTTTAATTAGAAGCCCAGGACTAGTTTACATAATGAAATTTCGAGATATTTAAAATTTTGACTTTTTTTCTTAAGATTTCCTAATTTTTCGTTCATTTTGTTACACAAGATCCTGTGATCTAATTGGTCGATCATATTAACCTGCGATATAGCAACCTGCGATATTTAACATTATCCTAAATAATATATAGATAATTGTAAAAATATATAAGCTTAATTGGCTAGAACTAGATTTTGAACCATTTTCTGAAACTTAACAGAACCTAGGACCCAGGTTTTTAAATTAGAACCGGAACCAAAACCGAATCTAAACTAACTTTACCAACTCTAGTAATAACATTACAGTAATAGCGATAATAGCAGTACTGGCAATAATAGCAATAATAACTAGCTTGTTATTCTTTGCTTGCATTTTTTTTTCTTAGTTTGCCAATATTACATAGGACGATTACTTATAAAATAGATAACTCGTGCTAATATGACCAATTTTAAATAACTTAACACATATTTATATGTTTATAATAATAGCGATTCGGTATGCCATTTCCACATCAATATTTCCAAGTAGTGCTGGTACCCATTAATTCTACGCATAATTACGCAATGTTCACACAGTCTCATCATCAACAATTCATGGTAAGAAATTTTGTCATTATTATGAATAACATATATATATATATTTTATTCAATAAATTTTTTTTTTTTTTTAATCAAAATTTAACTTTTGCTAATTTATATAGACTCAACGGTTTTATCCTCAAATTAAATGGATGCTATGTCTTCGCCGATGACAAGCGTCGCACCTAGTGTGAATATTATTGTACCTACAATCATGCTATTGGCTTTCGCTGCCATATTATAACGCGTCATATCTGACCATGTCACCAACTTTGAGGCTTCATTTAATGGTGACATCTTATCTCTTTCAACTTAGCTTCATCTCCAAAGAAACCAAAATTTCGCGTCCAATATTCCTGAAACAAATGAAAAATAGGGCGATCCTGCCGCTCAACAGACGGTTCAAGCTGATATTATCACCAAATCAAAATCACCCTCCGATCCGCAGCAATCACTAACATTACTAAATGTAAGCTCTTTATAATACAGTAATAGTAGAGTTTTATCAAAATATATATAAAGATTAGGATTATTGCCGCAAGCAAAAGTTTGGTGTCATGCCACTAGGATGTTATTACAGTCAGACCTCTCTAAGAACACCCTCTATAAAGGGCACACCCTCTCTAAATGCACGCTCAGATTCTGGCCCAAACATATACTTGACCTCTATAAATGCACTTTGTCTCATTATTCTGTTAAAGTGTGGTCCCAAGGACGTGCACTTAGAGAGGTCTGACTATAATTTATATAGCTTCCAGTGACATGACACTAGAATTTTTTTGCGCCAACAACCCTAATCAAGATTATTATCCCTTACACCGTCTTACGGGCAAATTGTCATGATTGATCTGTGATCAAACCATCCAATTATATTGGATCGTAACCTATATCACAGATCGTTGTGAGGGTTTTTTTTTTTCATCTTATATTTATTGACCATATATTTTTTTTCATCTTATATTTATTGACCATATATTTTTTTTCATCTTATATTTATTGACCATATATTTTTTTTCGTCTTATATTTATTGACCATATATTTATTAGAGCTTCGATCCTGTTTTTAAAAAACAATCCGGATTAGATTCGAATTCTCTTTCATTTATTTGGTTTAATCCGATTTATAATCCAAATTAGCACGTAAATTCGGATTCAGTCCGTAAAAATTTATTAACCAGCCAATCAAAATCGTGATTTTCAAAAATATTATGCATATGCACTCCTTTATTACATACGTATTAATATTACTATCACAAACCTTACATAAAATTGGTTTACTTGTCTACTGCATTTAATCCGATTACATAGATAAAATTACAACTTTCTTAACTAATTTATCTTTAATTAAAATCAGAACAGTATAACTAATAATATTATTATTTAGAACCTAATATCGATTATTAATACTTGAAAGAATTTCTACAACTACAATAGAGTTTCGATCCTTTTTTTAGGGGCCATTCGGATCTTCGTTAGCATATCCGGATGATAATCCGAATTTGAGTAAATCCGAATTAAAATAACAATCCGAATTGCCCTTGACCCACTGTTCTGTTTCGTTTAAAAACAAGATGTAAATAGATACGAGTCCGTTTGATCAATTTAAATACAATTTATTATCCGGAATTTTTTCTTGCGCACCCTCTGCTTTGCTCCAAATGAGTTTCAAGAAGATGATGAAAGAAATATAAGTAATTCCAAATTACCGCCATCATTTAATCGATCAGAATAAATATAACAAAGTCTATTGGTCAGTTTTTGGATTCCGAATTCGAGGCATTGGGTGGCTTAATATTTATTGACTGCACAAAGTCCAAGATAAACAATTAAGGTTAAATAACGAATTTTACTACGGTGCTTCGTAGCCAAACAAATCCCATTTTCTTAGTTGTTAAACGAAATTTAATATTTACAACTAGATAAATAAATTAGAGCATAATGTAATGGTCAATATTCACGAACTTAAATAATAGCATACCAATTCATAAAAATTCGTATATTACTAAATCTACTCAACATCGGCCAATCAGAGTCATAGCAATAGATCACATGGTATACTTTTTTCGGATTAAGATTCTTAATCCGAAATATATTTCGGATCTATCCGCCTAAAATTGACAGATATCCACATTTACAGCTATTATCATAATTCCTGAAACACCTGATAAAAATTAGCCGAATGATTTTTTGGCCGACTTGGTTAAGTTTATAATTTCGGCATAATAGATTCTATAAATTGATACGTATCCGTATGTGCGTACATACGTAATTTAAGATCAAGTGATTAATACGTATACATATTATACTGACACGAATATCTCAGGTCAAATACAGAAACATGATGCTCTCAAAGGATCTTCGCTGGCGAATAATTTAGAAAACTTAACATAGCGGGCTTTCATTGTAATTGGCTGATTTTTGTAGATCATCCCGTGATATTGCAAAAATATCATTGGTTAATCG